AACACATTTTTACCTGGAATGGCCACTTTATACCCCCTCCCCCAACAGAGAATGCCTCTATAAAGTGGCCAGTCCAAGTAAAACCCCTGAAAAAACAGAATCTATGTTGGACTGGCCGCTTTATACCCCCTCCCCCAACAGAGAATGCCTCTATAAAGTGGCCAGTCCAAGTAAAACCCCTGAAAAAACAGAATCTATGTTGGACTGGCCGCTTTATACCCCCTCCCCCAACAGAGAATGCCTCTATAAAGTGGCCAGTCCAAGTAAAACCCTGAAAAAACAGAATCTATGTTGGACTGGCCACTTTATACCCCCTCCCCCAACAGAGAATGCCTCTATAAAGTGGCCAGTCCAGGTAAAACCCCTGAAAAAACACATTTTTACCTGGAATGGCCACTTTATACCCCAGCCAGTGGGCTCCAGGACTTTGACCCGGAAACGGAAGGACTGACAACAAGGTAAAGGGGGAAAACTACAACGGAGAGGTACAACGGGAAGGCTACCACAAGAAAATGAGACATGTCACGTTTATATACGTTTATTGTTTTCAATGTGTCATATAGATTGGCGATGATTGGTATATTGAATATGTTGTAGCTGTATTTTGGAACATATGTATACCTATGATTCACACATCAATATAAATATATATAAATCATAAACACATGCCAAACCAAAAACTTTTAGCTGAGTATTGTATTCCCAATCTCTTGGCAAATGTCCAGCCGATTCACCATGCGTGACCCAACAAGATTCAAACTATGGATTGTTTACTTTTGAAAAAAAAACTGGGTGAATCTACGTATATCTATGACGACAATCTCCCAAAATCATCCTAAAAATCTATGGACATCTATGGACCAAAACCACGGCCACATGCCCATCCTCTATAAAATGGTTTGCAAGAAAGTTCAGCTCTATAAAGTGGCTTGATCACGTCATTTCTGGCAGCCCCACCCTCTGTATAAACTGGCCGGTCCATGCCCATCCTCTATAAAATTGTTTGCAAGAACCAGTAAAAAAATATTTTCGAAAGTAAACAATCCATAGTTTGAATCTTGTTGGGTCACGCATGGTGAATCGGCTGGACATTTGCCAACAGATTGGGAATACAATACTCAGCTAAGACATTTGCCAACAGATTGGGAATACAATACTCAGCTAAGAGTTTTTGGTTTGGCATGTGTTTATGATTTATATATATTTATATTGATGTGTGAATCATAGGTATACATATGTTCCAAAATACATCTACAACATATTCAATATACCAATCATCGCCAATCTATATGACACATTGAAAACAATAAACGTATATAAACGCGACATGTCTCATTTTCTTGTGGTAGCCTTCCCGTTGTACCTCTCCGTTGTAGTTTTCCCCCTTTACCTTGTTGTCAGTCCTTCCGTTTCCGGGTCAAAGTCCTGGAGCACACTGGCTGGGGTATAAAGTGGCCATTCCAAGTAAAAATGTGTTTTTCAGGGGTTTTACCTGGACTGGCCACTTTATAGAGGCATTCTCTGTTGGGGGAGGGGGTATAAAGTGGCCAGTCCAACGTAGATTCTGTTTTTTCAGGGGTTTTACCTGGACTGGCCACTTTATAGAGGCATTCTCTGTTGGGGGAGGCGGTATAAAGTGGCCAGTCCAACATAGATTCTGTTTTAAACACAATTTCCTTTGAAAGAGGTCCTCGGGGTGAAAGGGGTCCTCGGCGTGCCGCGCGCGCGCGCGCGGCGCGCCCAGGACCCCTTTCACCCCGAAGACCCCTTTCAAGGGAAATCTTTTTTTTTCAGGGGTTTTACCTGGACTGGCCACTTTATAGAGGCATTCTCTGTTGGGGGAGGGGGTATAAAGTGGCCAGTCCAACATAGATTCTGTTTTTTTTTAGGGGTTTTACCTGGACTGGCCACTTTATAGAGAAGAAGATTTCCCTTGAAAAATTCCTCAGGGTGAATGGGGTCCTGGGCGCGCCGCGCGCGCGCGCGCGCCAAAAAGGTCTCAAAATTGGAGCCATTTTGGCGCGCACGCGCGCGCGCGCGCGGCGCGACCAGGACCCCTTTCACCCCAAGGACCCCTTTCAAAGGAAAGTGTGTTAGAGGCATTCTCTGTTGGGGGAGGGGGTATAAAGTGGCCAGTCCAACATAGATTTTGTTTTACCATAGATTCTGTTAACGACTTCGATATAGATATTTGTCTGGCTGTTGGTTTCGTTCGGTTTCGAAGTCATTCGAAGTCTTTTGGGTTCCCCATCGATGAGATCGATGATATTCCCCCAAGGTTTGAACGTGGCCCCTCAACTTTATAGACAATCATGTCGATGCTGCCATCGTCGCGATTAAGAAAATCATCGCTACTCGAGCGATCGTTGTTTAGCCGGAAATCCACATTATAGTGCCACTGTTCTGCACAAGTATTACTATCTGGATGTTCGGCATCTCACTTTATAGTCATGGGACATGTTCACAAGTACCCTCAAAAACCTGCATCGAGTTTTATGTTTTTATGCGGCCAGGCGACTTTATACAAACGTTGGATTTTGACTTTATAGACAAAACATGTTGGCTTTCCACTTTATAGACTCCAGACATGTGGCCATTCCAGTTTATACCAGGCTATTCTCTATAAAGTCGGCCGCAAAGCATCTAGCGGGCTATACATGGGGGATACAAAAATTATCTATTCTATATCCTTTTTCTCCACTTTTATTTCCCTGTTAACAGCTGTCAAAAGCTGCTTGCTCTGGCCTGGCTGCTAGCTGCTGCACTGCTGCGGCTGCTCTTACTGCTGCTGCTGGCGAACGCCTGCAAAACACCTCCCGGTAGTAAAACAGCATGGCCCTAAAGGACGAACCGATGCCAAAATCTACGTTTTTCGGGGCCGGAACGTCCCTTCTGAAATCCTACAAAAATATCATTTTTCCACCTTATTTCCACCTTGTTAAGAGCTGTTAAAAGCTGCTGGCTGCTGGCTGGCTGCTGGCTGCTGCTGGCTGGCTGCTAGCTGCTGCACTGCTGCGGCTGCTCTTACTGCTGCTGCTGGCGAACGCCTGCGAAACACCTCCCGGCAGTAAAACAGCATGGCCCTAAAGGACGAACCGATGCCAAAATCGACGTTTTCCGGGGCCGGAACGTCCCTTCTGAAATCCTACAAAAATATCATTTTTCTACCTTATTTCCACCTTGTTAAGAGCTGTTAAAAGCTGCTGGCTGCTGCTGGCTGGCTGCTAGCTGCTGCACGGCTGCCGCTGCTCTTAGCCTGTTAAGCATCCCCCGGCAGTAAAACTCCCTTCTGAAATCTTACAAATCCTACCAAAATATCATTTTTCCACCTTATTTCCACATTGTTAAGAGCTGTTAAACGTTGGTGGCTGGCTGCTAGCTGCTGCACTGCTGCCGCTGCTCTTACTGCTACTGCTGGCGAACGCCTGCGAAACACCTCCCGGCAGTAAAACAGCATGGCCCTAAAGGACGAACCGATGCCAAAATCTACGTTTTTCGAGGCCGGAACGTCCCTTCTGAAATCCTACAAAAATATCATTTTTCCACTTTATTTCCAAGCTGTTAAAAGCTGCTGGCTGCTGCTGGCTGGCTGCTGCTGGCTGGCTGCTAGCTGCTGCACTGCTGTGGCTGCTCTTACTGCTGCTACTGGCGAACGCCTGCAAAACACCTCCCGGCAGTAAAACAGCATGGCCCTAAAGGACGAACCGATGCCAAAATCGACGTTTTTCGGGGCCGGAACGTCCCTTCTGAAATCCTACAAAAATATCATTTTTCCACCTTATTTCCACCTTTGTTAAGAGCTGTTAAAAGCTGCTGGCTGCTGCTGGCTGGCTGCTAGCTGCTGCACGGCTGCCGCTGCTCTTAGCCTGCTAAACACCTCCCGGCAGTAAAAGCTCTTTCTAATCCTACAAAAATATCATTTGCACCTTATTTCCACCTTGTTAAGAGCTGTTAAAAGCTGCTGGCTGGGTGCTAGCTGCTGCACTGCTGCCGCTACTCTTACTGCTGCTGCTGGCGAACGCCTGCGAAACACCTCCCGGCAGTAAAACAGCATGGCCCTAAAGGACGAACCGATGCCAAAATCGACGTTTTTCGAGGCCGGAACGTCCCTTCTGAAATCCTACAAAAATATCATTTTTCCACCTGATTTCCACCTTGTTAAGAGCTGTTAAAAGCTGCTGGCTGCTGCTGGCTGGCTGCTGGCTGCTGCTGGCTGGCTGCTAGCTGCTGCACGGCTGCCGCTGCTCTTAGCCTGCTAAACACCTCCCGGCAGTAAAACACCCTTCTGAAATATTACAATTCCTACGAAAATATCATTTTTCCACCTTATTTCCACCTTGTTAAGAGCTGTTAAACGTTGCTGGCTGGCCGCTAGCTGCTACACTGCTGCCGCTGCTCTTACTGCTACTGCTGGCGAACGCCTGCGAAACACCTGCCGGCAGTAAAACAGCATGGCCCTAAAGGACGAACCGATGCCAAAATCTACGTTTTTCGTGGCCGGAACGTCTCTTCTGAAATCCTACAGAAATATCATTTTTCTACCTTATTTCTACCTTGTTACAAGCTGTTAAAAGCTGCTGGCTGCTGCTGGCTGGCTGCTAGCTGCTGCACGGCTGCCGCTGCTCTTAGCCTGCTAAACACCTCCCGGCAGTAAAAACCCCTTCTAATCCTACAAAATATCACTTTTCCACCTTATTTCCACCTTGTTAGGAGCTGTTAAAAGCTGCTGGACGACTGCAACTGCTGCTGCTGCTGCTCCTGCTGCTGCTGCTGCTGACCGTTCAAGAGCGGCTCTTCTGGTGGTGGTGTGCCTAAACTTGCTTGTCTTTGCTTGTCTTATTCCCTGGCGCGCTCCCCCTTGCGTCTGCCGGGGTCGGCGGATATATATAGTATAGTATATGTTCGAATTTGGGATGGCATACCGCCAGAATGATGGCCCGAGAAAACAGAAGCAGCGGCACTTTAGATCGTCATGGTAGCGTAAGGCCTGATCTTTCCAGGCGTGCTGCGGTGGACCGGGGCGCAATAGCCATCAGGCACCGGTGGCTGGCTCACGCGAGCCGTTGGACTTGGAGGGCTTGGGCGGCATCCTGGGCCTACTTCCTTGTGTTCTCCTTTGGCATCCTCTCTGCGCTCTTCATTGGCTACTTTGAGCTTTGGGGCGAAATGGCAGCTCCAACTCCAGAGCAGGTCTTGCTAGACATGCAGGCTCAGCTTCAGGTGCAGCAGGACATGTTGATCCAACAGCAGACCCAGATGCAGCAGGTGATGGCCAAGTTGGCAGAGTCGAACACCAGGGCAGAACGTGCAGAGGAAGAGCGGTACTTGGCCATGAAGTTGCTGAGCCAGAAGCAGGGAGCAGAGGACCTGGTTGACACAAAGGGTGTTGGGCAGCCGTTCAAATTTAGTGGTAAGACAGATCAAGATTTTGCTGAATGGGATCACAAGATGAAAACCTTTTTACGTGCCAAATATGGACCTGAGTTGGACCCTGTTTTTGCTTGGGTTTTGAGACAGCGGAAAGTTGTTATGAGGTTTGCGGATGCGTCCAACCGGACGGTAGGATGGGATGAGGCCTTTGGTTCCACGGCGGACACCTTGGACTCAATCGAAGGCTTTGAGAAGATGGTGAATGGCATCTACGCCTACCTGGTCAGCTTTACCACGGGTGAGGCGAACAAGGTGGTGCGCAATAGTGGCACAGATGGGTTGGAAGCTTGGCGCCGCATCCACAATGAGTACGACCCTACGAGCAGCATGCGGCGAGTTGTGATCCTAGGCATGGTGCAGAACCCTCCGAAGTGCGAGAGTGTCGACAAGTTGGGCGCGGCTTTGGAGGATTGGTTGGCGAAGAAGAGGCAGTATGAAGAGTTCACTGACAATGACGGGAGGCCTTGCCGAGTGAGTGATGACTCGTTGATGGCTGCCATGTACAAGTTGATGCCGGAGTCACTTGAAGAGGTGGTCATGTTCAAGTCCGACGAGTACCCAACCTATGAGGATCTTTTTGACCGGCTCTCAAGCTTTGCGAGCACAAAACACAGCTTGCACATCAGTCGTCGCGAGCTCAACCAGAAGAAGACGGTTCAGAAGGATCCCAATGCCATGGACATCGGTGCAGTGAGCAAAGGCAAGGGCAAGTCCAAAGATGTCACTTGCTATCGCTGTGGACGTCCTGGTCATCGAGCAGCAGATTGTCGAAGTGGAGGCAAAGGTGGTAAAGATGGACGAGGAGCCCAATAAAAGCGAATGGACAATGTTCAATGTTGGGTCTGCAATGGCTATGGACACTATGGGAAAGATTGCAAGTATCCAATGTTCAATGTTGGGTCTGCAATGGCTATGGACACTATGGGAAAGATTGCAAGTATCGTCGAGATTCGAAAGGTGGTGGCAAGGACAAGGGCAAGAACAACAAAGGTGGCAAGAAAGGAGATGGAAAATCCAAGTCTGGCAACAACAACAAGGGCAAGGGCTATGGTGGCAATGCTACGTCTTCGGTTGATGACGCTCAGCCAGCAGGTGAACCGGACCCCAAAGACCTTGCTCACCTCGACCTTTGTGCTGTTGATGGTGGAGTTGGAATGGACTATGGGTCGAGCAGCCGATCCGAGGAGGAGAACATGGGTGTTGAGGTCGAAGAGGACAAGCCGGACTATTTGGTGGAGTATGACGGCGAGGAGTGGATTCGCTTCAACTATGACTCTGGGGCTGTGAGCACCGTGATTCCTGTGGAGATGGCTGAGGAAGACCTTGAGTTGCACAGAGTTGGAGACTTCAAGGTGGCAAATGGTGACCGCATCCCGCGGTATGGACGCGTTCGGATGAAGGTGATGGATGAGCGCGGCAACAAGCGGGGCATTAGAGCTACGGCCACTCATGTTCACAAACCCCTTGGCTCTGCTGGTGAATTTAGCCGAAGTCATGATGCTTGGTTGTGGAAAGATGGTGGAGTTCTACTACCTCGACATGGAGCTTTGGCGACGAGGATGCGCAATGTCTACAAGGCCCTGTGCAATCAATACAGTGATGATCAGGTGATCCCCCTCTACAAAGAAGGCAACCTGTACAACTTCTATGTGCAGAAGCGTGGCAAGATGGATGAGGTGTGTGCCATTGATTCAGGTTCTTCCTCGTCTTCGGGAAACTCCCGGCAGGGTCACCCGTAAGTCCGTTGGATGAGGCTGAGGATGTAGAGGTGGACAATGGTGGTGGTGATGTCCTCAACCAGATGCGTTGGAAGGGTTGGCAAATGATGAGGGTCGGCCTTGACCCAATCACTCCCAAATGGGAAGCATATGAGCCTAGCAGTTTTGGACCACCACCTGGGTTACCTGATGGAGTTGTTTGCTGGCAACGCCGTGACTATGATTGTTTCACTTTTCGGGGCACGACTGAGAATGGCCCCGATTGGCATGATGTCGTTTGGAGGAGGAGCATCAATGAGGAGACGAACCAGATTTTTGATGAAGGTTCGGTGCTTGGCTCTGACTTCAACATCCATGGTCATTTTGACCCAATGGTGCGGAAGATGGTCACTGAGCTTTGGCATGTTCCCTTGGCTGAAACTCAGGGCGTGGTGAGAGCTGATAGGTCTGATCGGCCTAGCAAGCGACAGGTTGAAGAGCACGAGTTGGAAAACCATGCGGTGTACAGGAATTGGTGTCCAGTTTGTGTTGAAGCGAGGGCAACAGGAAGTCGTCATCGTCCTCGAACACAACAAGAAAAGGATGAGCGTGGGCCTACGATCCATGCAGATTTCTTTTACATGTCAACTGAGGAGGACTCAGTGCCGTTCCTCGCACTCAAGAGTGGTGTTTCTGGGAGGCTTCATGCAGTGGCCCTCCAGAGCAAATCTCCAGATGACTATGTGCTGAAGGCCTTCGCCCGTTTTGTGGAGGAGACCGGGCACAAGCGAGTTGTTTTCATGAGTGACAACGAGCCAGCGTTGGTGAAGCTCAAGACCATGGTGGATGAGCATTTGAAGAATGTTGAGGTGGTTCACAAGACGTGTCCAGTTGGAGATCATGCGGCCAATGGATCAATAGAAGTTGCAGTGCGTGAGATCAAGCGTCAGATGCGCTCTTTGAGATTGTCCTTGGAGAGGAAGTTGGGCTGCAAGCTCAACGATGACAATGTGCTTTTGTCTTGGATGGCCTCTTTTGCGGCTCAGGTGATCAACTGCTACAGGCGAGATGCCAGTGGCAAGACATCCTATGAGAAGGAGTTTGGGCGGAAGTGGATGAGACCGGCTTTGGAGTTCGGCGAGCTCACCTACATGAGGGAAGCTGTTGAGCGGCAGAATCGTCCCAAACGGGACTGGGAGCAGCGGATGATTGAGGTCCGCTACATTGGGCATCATTCGCGTTCTGGATCCATTTTGGGCCTCACTTCAGACGGCCTACGACTGGGTGCTGCAGTTCGGCGAGTTGGTGAAGGTCTTCGATGGCGAAGTGATGGCATCGAAGAATTGGCTGGGCTTCCTTGGGATGTGAAGAGGAAGACACCAGGTGTTCCTGGTGAAAGTGGTGAACGAGCTCCACGGCTTCCACCTCCTGTCCCAGAGACCCCTGATGCGCGTGGGTTCTATGTGCAGAAGAAGGACATCACGGAGCATGGCTGGCTATATATACTCCTGGGTGTCGTGGCTGTGAGGCCGTGAGAAAAGGGGCTAAGAGAGCAGTGGCTCACAATTCGGAGTGCAGAAAGAGAATTTTTGATGAGGTTGGTAAGCAGGATGCGGAGAAGCATCGAGTTGAGCGTTTTGAGGACAGAATGGCTGGACGTTTGGAGCGTCGCATTGAGTTTGAGGAGGAGCAGGAGAAGAAGAAGTCCAAGGTTGAAATGTTGCCATTGGAGGACAAGAAAGATGATGTTTTGCCCGCTGGGCGTGAGAAAAGAGTTGAACCAGAGAGCCCAAGTGCAAGCGTTGGTTCTCCGAGTGGCTCACCTTCTAAAAGATGGAAGGCGGATGGCCACATGAAGTACAAGCGTGTGGCTGAGACCCCTTTGGAGGAGTTGGATGAGCGTGCTGCGAGTGCAAGTGCTGAGGCTGAAGTGGTTCCTGCTCAAGCTTCAGCTGCGGTGCCAGATGCTCCTCCGGTGATTTCATCGGATGCCGTTTCGGTTGAGGATGTGATGGTTGCAGAAAAGAAGGGAGCTACTGAAGGAGGAGGTGATATCTCTAGCATTGATTGGGGTGCCTATGAGACTGTGGACATGAGCACGGTGAAGTGGAGAGAGATCTCTTCGTTGGACTATGCCTCGAGGAGGTTGGAGTCGAGGAGGTTGGAGCTTGGAAGTGTGGACGTGGCCGAGGTCTTCAGTCCACCTAGGTTTGTGGCGCGAGCTGGAATCCTGGGCCTATCTCCAGGGTTTTCTGTGGACCTCTCGACGAAGAAACCAATCCTGGGCAAGGAGAATGAGTACTGGGATTTGAATCGCGCAGAAGACCGTGAAGATCTGAACTACCTCATCGAGAAGGAGCAGCCATTTTTGCTAACTGGGAGTCCTAGATGCGACCCCTTCAGCGTGTTGCAGAACATCAGCAAGCATCGAGAACATGGGCCTGATCATGAGCTTCGACGACGTCAGGGTGAAGAACATCTTGACTACACTGATGAGCTCTACAAGAAGCAGATGAGCGATGGGCGATACTTTTTGCATGAACATCCAGCAGGTGCAGATTCCTGGGACCGAGACAGCGTGGTTGGACTTCAGAAACTTGAGGGTGTCTACACGGTGAGTGGTCCCATGTGTTGCTGGAATATGGCAATTGGGTCTTCAAAGAAAGGCCGTGGCAAGGTGTACAAGATGACTCGTTGGATCACAAATTCAAGGGAAATTGCAGAGGTCTTGGACAAGTATTGCACCAACCGCCGAGGTGGACCTATTCATCGGCACGTTCCTTTGCTTGGTGGCATTGCTCGATTGTGCGAGGCATATCCCTTGGAGTTGGTGGATGCAGTGTTGGAAGGGCTCAAGAGGCAGATGCTTTCGGACCAGGCCATTAGCTCAGTTGAGCTACATGCTAGTGGACCGGTTCCAACTGAGCCTCTGTTTGACAAGGAGACCATCAATGAAATAGCTGGCGAGGTGATGGAGTACTACGACGATATCAGCGGTGAGAAGTTGCCCTATGACCTGGTTGTCAAAGCACGGCAGGAGGAGATCAATTGGGTTCGTAGTATTGGCCTTTATGACAAAGTTCCTCGCGCAGTCGCACTTCAACGTGGAGTACGTCCTCTGCAAGTGCGTTGGGTAGATGTCAACAAAGGTGATCGGTCCAGCTACAAAGTGCGTAGCCGGATCGTTGGCAAAGAGCTCAAGTCAAAGACCAAGGAAGCGCTATTGGCGCATGAACTGTTTAGTGCGACACCACCCTGGGAAACAGTCAAGGCATTGTTCTCTCTTCTTGTTACTGACCTCCCTGTGGCGATGACTGGCGGCGAACCCTTGGTGATGGGTGTCTACGACATTTCAAGGGCTCACTTCATGCCTGCGGTCGAGCGGGAGATCTACATAGAGTTGCCGGATGAGGACAAGCTGGATGGCGATGGTGATGTGGTTGGTAAGCTGAAGCGCAACATGTATGGTTGCCGTGATGCTAGCCATGGTTGGATGAAAGATTGGCAAGCACTTTTGGCCAGTGGTGGTTATCAAGTTGGTGAAGCCAATCCTGCCTTGTTTTTCAATGAGGACAAGTTTTCACGTGGAGCAGTTCATGGTGATGATTTTTATGTTTTGGGCCCGAAGTTTGCGATTGATGACATGAAGGAGTTGCTTGGGTCCAAATATCAGATGCGAGAAGCTCATCGACTTGGTTTTTGTGAAGGTTGTGTTCGCAGTGCAACGGTGTTGAACCGTGTGGTTGAGCTTGGTGAATCAGATGGAAGAAAGTGGGTTCGAATCGAACCTGACAAACGCCATGTGGAGCTGATTTGGAGAGCCGTTGGAATGAACTCAAAGTCCAACGGTGTGACGACTCCTTCCATCAAGCCTACAGACGAGCAGGCGCACCAGCTGCAGTTTTCTCCTGAGTTGCCTGCGGCGCAAGCGTCCCAGTATCGATCGGCTGTTATGAGGGCCAGCTTTTTGTCCCAAGAGAGGAGCGATTTGAGTGAGACAGTGAAGAGGTTGGCCCAAGGCATGTCAAAGCCGCGTTTGGCTCACTGGGAGATGCTGAAGAGGATGGCGCGCTACTTGGTGTACAAGCCCGACATGGCGGTGGTGTTCCATCAGCAGAAGATGCCCGACCACATTCGCATATGCGTGGATTCAGACTATGCGGGTTGCAAAGTTGCGGAAGAGCACAACGGGAATGGTTCAGTTCCTTGGTGGTCACATGATCAAGGCCACCAGCAATCTTCAGACTGTCATAGGTTGGAACGTTTCTGAGTCTGAGTATTACGCGTTGGTTCATGGGGCGAGTCATGGACTAGGACTTCAAGCTTTTCTTAAAGATCTTGGTTTGGTGGTTGGCCTAGTGGTGGAGAGTGACAGCTCTTCGGCAAAAGCATTTGCGTCACGAGTGGGGCTGGGCAAACAACGTCATGTTCAGACCCGCTTTTTGTGGCTCCAACAAGCAGTTCAAAGTGAGCGAGTGGTGATCAAGAAGATTGGAACTGCCAACAACCCTTCTGACATCCTGACGAAGTCTAGTACGGCTGCGGTGATCGAAAAGCACACCAAAGCCATGGGACTTTTGCTTTTGCGAGATGCCTCACGCTTACAGAAGAGCGTTTTGGTGCCAGGCTCCACTACCTAACCTCTGCTGCTTCGCTGTAAAGACATCTCAGCAGAGGAGGAGTGTTCGAATTTGGGATGGCATACCGCCAGAATGATGGCCCGAGAAAACAGAAGCAGCGGCACTTTAGATCGTCAGTATATGTATATATAAATAAATAAATAAATATATATATATATATCAAATTAATATATATATATATACATATATATAATATACACAATCTGTGTTGAGACTGTAGTTGCAGCTCAGCGTGGATCGATCGTTGTTGTGAGAGGAGACTTGTCCTAACTTACAAACTTTGGATTCAGCAGCCCTGAAAGTTGATATCCCTGCCCTTCTGTTGACAGTCTGTCGGCAATACAATGGAAATCATAACAACGGCAACGACGATGAAAAGGATGAGGAAATTGTCGATGAGGATGACATGGAGGGTGATGATGACGATGTTTTCGAAGAAGACAGAGACGACGAGCAAGATCACATGGAGCACTCACAATCAATGTGGGATGTCACCTGAGCTCCATCCATTCCTCCTGAAAATGCTACTCGTCCAACTCGTCCTCCTTGTCATCCTTGTCCTCCTCGTCCCCTCGTTCCCTCCTCCCCGTCCTTTTCGTCATCACCATCACTCTCAACCCATTGAAATCTCTGAAGCCAGACACCTGAAGGACGTATTGGCTGAACACGACTCACCACTTGCTATGTACATGCTTAGAAGATCATAGAAGGTGACATTCATCCCAGTGCCTTCAAGCAATAGCGCGGCCTCGCCCCCCTGTTCACACTTCAATTGAATCGACGACTTACTTCAAATATCCAACTATTTCCCCAGATAGTGAAGCTATTGGGGGTTCTTACTTCAATTATAGGATGAGTTGGATATGTGCGTTTTGGAGCGGGCATGTTGGTGGCGCTGCAGGGTACCGCTGCATAGTGCTGCTTCAGGGTGCTACTGTTAGAATTGTTAGAGTGGTGTGTGCGCTTTGGAGCTGGCCTGCCGGTGAGATGTCTATGGCAGTGTGGGCGTTGGGGCCTGATGGAGATTACATTTACGCAGTCTCAAAAAGGGAGAGTGTTTGGTTGCTGCCCAAAAATATCTTTTGCTATTTGGGGTTTATGCTGACGTAATTTTCTTGTTTGGTTAGCTTGAATGTAGAGTATCAAATATCCTGAAAGCCAGCTTCTCTCACCTTGGGTTGGCCCAGAACCCAAGTTTGACTAGATCGAATCCTTGCCAGACACTGCCAAATTCACAAAAAGCCCTTGACTTTTAGATCCTCGCAGTGCTCACTTGACAATTGCTGATGGACACGTTTCCTCACTTTTGTTTATTCCCGTATGTAGAGTGCCTGCAGCTGCAGCTGCACTTGCAGGTGCCGATGATCCAAAGGAACTGGGTAGACACTGTCAAGCACCACCATGTGCAGGCGAACATCCTCAACTTGAGCAGCTTTGGCATTTCTGGGTTTGCCATTTAATTTCCTGGAATGGAGTGCGGTAGAGTAGTCCAACATTTGATGGTTTTTGCCTTTTTTGATGGGAGGGCAGCTTTTATTCCAGACAGCCCTGGAAAGGTCGTCGAAACAGAAAGGCCGCAGACTCTGCAGAAGGTTGTGAAACGAAGGACCTTGCGCTTCGATTCAAAGCTGTCATGAAGGGTTTCAAACTTCTCAAACTTGTACGGAAAGTTCGTTTGTGATTGATTTGGATTGTGTATTTCCAGCCCACGAAGAAGCCAACAAAACTTGCACACTCGTAGCCGCGTGGATGCCAAGCTACTTTATCTGTGGCACAATTAGGTGGTGCATTAAGGTTCTCCTTCTTGGACATTCCTTTGCAGATCTTCGCAGGAAACCTATACTTCAGGAGAAAATCATCCAGGCAGCGTCCCGCCAGTAGATGTTGTAGCTTCGTGTGCTTTGTGGAGGACCGAGAAATTTCCATAGAACCAGCGGAATTCGTTCTGCACTGCGTCACAGCTTCACTCAGCATCACGAGAATTTGCAAATTGTGGAGTTCTGCTCTTGTCGGGTGGCAGGTCCCTAAGATTGTACAAGAGGCAGTGTCGGGAAGCCTGTTTCCAGCGGTGGGTATCCCCTTACCGCGCATCAAACACGCACAGACAGACAATGGGAGACAGATAGATAGACAGACAGGCAGGCAGGCAGACAGACAGACACACATACACATTCGGATCGCATGGATGTATGCCCAACTGAACATAACTGAACCACATACCAGTATCCTAAATTGTTCAACAGCCTGATTCATCATGCACCCACGGACGCTCCAGACGCGGGCAAACTGCCGACCTTGCATACCACTGACCATGTGGATGTATTCAATGTATTCGTTGCCTGCGCACCCAATTGATTGGTCAGAACATGTCAGAACGCCGTTTTCCGGTGAGAGGGTCTCTCACAAACAAACACCTGGGCTTGTGGGCAGCTCTCTATTTCATCCTGTATATTTGCAACCCTTGGTTCCCCATTTTTGAAAAGAATCTGGATGAATCTGGAACAATCAGGGACGATCTACCGTTAGGGAGCTTGATGCCCTCCTAGACTCCTGGACTCTGATACGTGTGACACGGGTTCCACCCTGGCACAGCTTTTGACAGCCAATGCCTTTCTGAGGCCTATCAAGAAGGTACTTCAAAGAGAGGTGGAGGCTCCTACCCAATGGATCATGAGGGTGCACACAAAGGGGAAAGGCGTTTTCAACGACAGTTAGACGAAATGGCAATCGCTCCAAACTTATTCCGATTTGCACGGAAGGATCAAGCTACGACATGCCTGTATTCTTGGAGCATGTTCGCAAACGCTCTCTACACAAGATGGTAACAGGGCCTATTAGGGGAATCATCCTTCTTAGTAAGTAGGCTATCAACCCACTATGAGGCAACTGACTCTACTTCCGGAAGCACGTGTATAGTCGACTTACGGCTGATAGCAGCCTGGAAGCCGAGTTTTGGAGAATTTTAGTGCGGATCATTTGGACGGCTGAGGTACCTACAGTGGAGTGGGAAGAGCGTTTTGCCCGTGAGCCAAGCCTTTGAGGTGTATTTGAAATAACATGATGAACCGGTTCGGTTCTGCGGTTTTCGGTTCATTTTTGAAACGGTTCTACGGTTCCACGGTTCCAATTGTTTTATTTTTGCGGTTCTGTTCGGTTCGGTTCTAAATGTAATTTTTCATTTATTTGGGGTTGATATTTTTAGAGCTATATATACCATTGTAAACTTCTCTGGGGTTTCGCTTTGGTGGTGACTACTCCGCCTTAATGTGGTGATCCACACTGGTAGTGACCCTTCGGCCTTGGTGGTGACCCCCGTCCTGCTGATAACTAACCCTGCCTTGGTGGTCACCCGTCTGGGTGGTAAACTTGGTGACCTGCCTTTGGTGGTGACCCCCTGCCTTTGGGAGCCAAGGTAGCTCTTTCCGGGGCTACTTCATTCTCCCCAAACCTCCCGGCAGGTACTTCCTTGGTGGTGTTTTGTGGTGTCCTCCTTGGTGGCATCCTTCCTTGGCGGTGTTCCCTTGGCGGTCCTAATAATTTGGCACTCCAGGAATCTTTGTTCAATTCGTGATTTGGATAATCTCAGCCGTTAGTTTTTCTTCTTCCAGCTACGCCGCCTGCAGCTACACAAAGGAACGGGTCTGGTCTCAGAAGAGAAGTTCACCAGGAAAAAATCCAAAAAGACGAATTACCAAAAATTAATTCTGGAGTTTAGTCCTGAAGCAATGGACACCCCATATATAATATAACATAATATAATATAATATTCATAGAAGACTGCTGCCACCCCCCCACAGCCCCCCCCAAAAAACCTTTTACTTAAAGTATATCATTAAGCACTATTAAGTGTTATTAAGTAAAACGTGGTTTACTTAACAGTACCCAAAGTCACCTTAGTAACCCTTAATAGTAACTTAATAGTAACCAAATTCAACTTAACAAACATTAATAGTAACTTAATAGTAACCAAATTCAACTTAATAACACTTAATAGTGCTTAACCAAGATTTTGCAAGAAACCACTATAAGACATATGTTGTTATACGCCTAGATCCTCTTGATTTTTCGAATGTGCATATGTTTTTTTTTCAAAATTTCAAACTTTTGGTGCGACTGGAGGTGCATCAAGTCAGCTTGAGGAAACTAAGTGCTATTAAGCTATATTAAGCTCTATTAATATCTATTAAGAAGAAGGTTGGTGGCCTTGTTTCACATGTTGCAAAGTGGTTTGTGCTTAATAGCACTTAGCGCTACTTTCTGAGGTAACCTGGTTGTCATTGGTTTGCTCTTCCTTGCTCGGCCGCCGCTCTGTATCATACAGGGAAACCGTCAGGAGAGATGAGAATGCAGTCAATCAAGGGGGGGGCAGGACGGACCCTCAAATCAGAGGCAACTAAAGATTATATACTACCCCAGATATAAATCAAGTTCACATATAATCTAGCTTACATATACCAAGAATCTTAAATTGTTTTTCCATTTATTGACATGCAACAAAAATTGTTTTGTGGCCTTGCCGTGGAAGCCATGGCTGTTTTTAGAGATCTGCGAAATTTCGTCGTGCAAAGAGAACCGCAGACGCAATTATTGCGATGCTACTGTGCAAACGCTGACGCCAATGCACAGTCAGAATGGGTATTGAGTGACATATTGTTGAAGATGTTTGATTCCACAAGAATTGACAAACTTTATGCATCGCGATGGAAGAAGGAATGGATACCTATCGTCAAGTCACTGCATGAAAGGGTATGGCCTGACTTTGTTTTTCCAGCTATCAGGGTGCCTAAAAAGGATCGAGAGAAAGCGAAAGGATCGAGAGAAGATTTGGTAGATGAAAACACAATCCCTACATCTACCATGGTGCTTGCCTTTGTGGTGTTTGCCACTCATTCCAATAGGAAGGCAACGTTGAGGCAGAAAGCTGCAAGCTACATGCACTTCTTGATTTCCAGGGTCTGCTCTATCGCAGGGGGTCTCCAACATGATCGCATTAAAGTGAATGACAAGGGTCTTGTGGTTCAAGACATTTGGAAGCCGGATGATAAGGAGACAATTCAAAAATTGTGGGATGTAGACCTTCTGGATTCGAGTGCGTTTTGGGTACAAAGTCAATTTGATTCACCCCACGTTGCAGATATTATTACTTTCAGCCTTCGAGACCAGGTTCCCAAAGTGAAGAGGGGATCAGGGACATGGAGGAAATGGGAAAAAATAAGAGAAGGGATTCAGGAGATTGCCATCATTGCCGTCCGGTTGGTAACAGAAGCTTTACACAGCAACCTCCAAAAAATGACCATGTCTCAAGGGCTCAAGAGAAAAATTACGAGAGAGGAGGAAGGCAACCCCAAGAAGAAATGTGGCACGTTGAAGACTGTTGAAGTTGCACAAATTGTTGGCGAAGTGGTTCAGAAGCTTTACCAAAATGAAGTACCTGGGGCTGACCATTGTCATCATTTTAAAACCTTATTTTTTTGTTGGGTTACAGCTGTTAGTTGCCCC